GGGGCCCCCAACACAGAACGAGGAGCCGCCGGGGCCCCCAACACAGACAGACAAGTCAGACCCAACTCAACCAGTCAAAGAACACGGTGCCACACACCAACCGTAACCCCGGGGCCGTGCTGTTCATCCCCCCCCTCTGTCTTCCATCCACAAATCCTGAATTCATCCCGACTGCCGGAGCTGCAGGGTCAGAGAGCAGAGTCAAAGCAGGTGGAGGACAGGTGAAGCACTTCCTGTTGGGCCTTTCAAAATAAACAGCAAACAGGAAAAGATCATTTCAGAACAAGGATCATGAAGTTTGCGGCGCCACATTAAAACTCTTCTTCAGAAAACGTCTTCTTGTGAACGCTGACTCTGCATCTGCACCGCTGTTTTACCTACGTCTTTTACAACCTAACTACTTCTGCAAACCTTCAGCTATTTTAGCCATTCACAAATCAAAACATTAGGCTCATTCAGCAGATGGGTGCTCTGACTTTTGGTTTTTGTAACTTTTATACTTTTTAAAATGTTTAACTTTATCCACAGAAATGTTCCCATTGAAACTCGTCTTCATTTCCTCCTGAAGCAGTTTCCTTTTAAATCTGCTTCGGCTGCTAGCTCAGTTAACTTCAGCTTATTTACTGTAAATAACGACGTCACAACAGAAGTCATCTCAGGGCACTGAACAGAAACAGGCTCAGGCGTTTCTTCTAAAGGTTTATTTTTAGCTTTAAGCTAGCCTTGTGCTACATTTAGCTGTTTTTTTCTACATGAGATTCTTTATACTTTATGCTTCCTTAGCGTTAAGCTTTTGTTAATTTTGTGAAGAATTAGCTTCTTTAAGCCATATTTTATCTACTTTTGGCTAACCTCTAGCTTTTAGCTAGTGTTTAGCTATTTTTAGCCTTTACCCATATTGTATAGTTTTGTTATGTTTAGTGTCTGGCTAGGCTTTTAACATTTTAACTACTTTTTTGTCTTTTAGATTTTTCACTTCTTTATCTGATTTAGATAGCCTTTTGCCACTTTTGTCTTTAAGCTAACAATTTGTTGCTTTTTGCTACCACTTTGCTATAATTAGCTTTTAGCTAGTTCATTTATTTTTTTGTTGCAACATTTAGTGTTTAGCCATTTTTATTTTGTTTGTTTCTAGCTAGCTTCTTGCTAATTTTAGGCACTTTTCTGGTTTTTCAGTTTTTGGATACATTTTTTTTACTTTAGCTATTTTTAGCTAGTCTTTTGTGTTTAGATAGTTGTGTTCTGATCTTTAGGCTTGTGGCTAGTACTCTGCTTCTTGTAGCTTGTAGCTAGTGTTGTGCTTGTTTTAGCTTGTAGCTAGTTTTAGCTTGTAGCTAGTGTTGTGCTTGTTTTAGCTTGTAGCTAGTTTTAGCTTGTAGCTAGTTTTAGCTTGTAGCTAGTGTTGTGCTAGTTTTAGCTTGTAGCTAGTTTTAGCTTGTAGCTAGTGTTCTTGTTTATAAACGTCATTAAAGCGGCTCAGCGTTCACTCAGCAGCTACACAGACAATAAAACTTCTTTAGCTGTCTTCAGCTTGTTGTTATGACAGACTCACAGTCTGTTCGGCTACTTTATGTGTGTCGTCTTTTTGTTTCTTCAACAGGACAGGTGCTCAGCGTCCGGTGTCGTTTCAGATGTTCCACCTCGTTCACAGAAATCCTGCGTCTGCTCTTGGTTCTGATGCACTTTGTTTTTATGGCAGTGTTCTGAGTAAAGATTGGGTTATCGGCCCGCTTTCTTCTGGACCAACCAGGCAGAACTTTAGTTTTACTGTCACCCGCCCGAGCCTTCAGGACCAACAGAGCTCACTGGTGATGTTATCGTGCAGCTGTATTCAGCTGCTTCGGCTGTTTCGCCTCGTGATCTGCTCCGAGCTTCATTCAGCATCACAACAAAAAGATCAAAGAAACCTGCAGGTTCTGGAGAGAGGCCCGGTCCTGCATGAACCTGATGAAAGACCAGCTGAGATGAGACTGAAGTGGAGCCTCGTGCAGAATCCTGATGAGCCGATGAGAGAGTCATTAATTCATGTGTGGTGTCAGAGACAGGAAGTGACAGATTTATTTCACATTAGCTGAAGATCCAGTTCTGGTCCGACCACCTCGGACTCCATCTGGGAGCAGAGAAACTCTAAAGCAGCAGAACCTGACAGATGGACGCCTACGTCTCCAACCTCCAGGTTCTGGAACCAAGACACGACATGAGACCAGAAGAAGTCCAAACTCCTCCTCTGATCTGAGCAGGTGGTGGTTTCTCACATCGAGCCAATAAAACAAGTTTGATTCAGTTAAAGACGTTGAATTTATTTTTGTATCACTCAGTCCTCGTTTTCATTCTACAATCACCAGATAAACCGTTGAATCACATGAACCGTTGAATCACACGAACCGCTGAATCACATGAACCGTTGAATCACATGAACTGTTGAATCACATGAACTGTTGAATCACATGAACCGTTGAATCACATGAACCGCTGAATCACATGAACTGTTGAATCACATGAACTGTTGAATCACATGAACCGCTGAATCACATG